AATATTGAAGCATATACTGGTCTAATTGTTTTAAAAACATGCCTAAGCCACGACAAAGTATTCAAGGTAAATGTTTTTCGTCTTTGTTTTGTATTTTTTTACATTTGTAGCTACGAAATTGGCGTTCCCAATTTTAACGAAATTTGGGATGCTTTTTTCACTGTTTAGTGCTTGAAATATTTGCTAAAATTGACTGGGAATACTTAGAGATTTCATCGTAGAATGGCGTGGTTATATTCATTTGCTCTTTGACTAAAATGTTAGCTGTATTATTGCTAATTAAACATGCCGTTTTTGAGAATTTGGTTTGCAACTAGGTTTCAACATCCAATCACGCCATCAGCTCATTGAAAACATTAGGTCACGTCAGCTAGTTTCCTATCCATTTATTTTATTATCCATGGTTATACCTTACACGTCGATTAAATCCAAGTGAAGCCCTTTCAAAGACGCGTGCCACATTAAACTACAGGTGACATGGCGGTAGATCTTCAACATTTTCAAAAAGAAAGTTTAAAAAAGTTTTTAAAAAATTTTAAAAAAAGTTTTAAAAAGAAAAAAAAAGTTTAAAAAGTTTTGATTTTCAAAAAAGTTTAAAAAGTTAGATTAGGGTTAGGATTAGGGTTTAGTGGTTTGGATTGGGGTTCAGTGTTTGGGGTTAGATTCCGCGAATTTATCATTATGATAAATTCAAAATGTGCCGCGAATTTATCGTAATGATAAATTCGCACGTGTTTAAGAATTTATTCATATAGTAAATTCAAAGGTGAAGCTCATGCTGTCGCAAAGACGTCAAAAAGTGAGGGCGCTGACAAATCTGCAGCTGCATGGAAATACCAAAATGGCGGCCAAATTTGAAAAAATCTTGAACTTTGGTAAGCAATTTCTCTTTATCCTTACATAGTTGGACCGAGATAATTTGCGAACTTTCTAATAGACATAAGATCTACATAGATCAAACTAAATACTAACATTTTTACAAATGTTTTAAGCGATGGTGCGTCTTTTATCTCATCCGGAAGAGAATTCATAATTTAGCACCAGTGAAGGCAAAACTTGAATTGTAATACAGTGTTCGATTTTTTGAAAGTTCGAAGGTTATTTAGACCTACTGAGATTATATGTATCCAAAGCATGACAATGTTAAAATATGTCTATTAAATAAAATGGTGCATTACCATTTACTATTTTATACATCATCATATAGCCTTCTGTTTACCTCATTTCCTGAATATTCATCCAACCAAGTTTGTTTAAGTGTTTTGAGGATGATATCGAGAAATGTGCCCAAGTTATCACACGGGCAGCTCTATTTTGTAAAATTTGTATAGATTTGTCTAATGTTTGTCCCAAACTATGGAGCAATAAATGAAATATGTTTCAATTATCGCCCGATTGAGTGATACTAGGTTTTTTTTGTGTTAAAATGGGCTTTAATCGCCACAAAGTAGCAATATTATACGGGATACTTTTAGGCGAATACTTTCCACGTGGTTTTCCTAAGTCAA